AAAAGGATGTAAAAAAGAGTGGGCAGATAATTAGCACACTGTAAACACAATTGTAAACAATTAGCACATTTTTACAAATCAAACTATTTTAGAAAAGAAATGCTGCAAACTACTTAAGGTTAGAGCTATTTAAAACAAATACTGAATGCTATACATTGGATTAAAATATTACAATGGGAAAAACTAAATTTACTGAGAAAGCCAACTTGCTTAGTAGAAGAGACTGCAAACAGAAACAACAGATCAACACAGATGACCCGGTGGCGGAGAAAGGAAAGCGAACTGGCCGCAGAGGTGCATAAAAGGGATCAGGCTTTCATCTTGGCAGTTGGTGTGGTTTCTGCTGTGGTTACATCTGAGGGATGGGAACTCTCAGGTTGTTTTGTCAGTTCAGGGTGGGGTGGAGCTGTACATCTGCTGCCACAGCAATAGGCTGCGGGAGTGTTCTCAGCAATGTCCCAGGGTTGTTGTTGGTAGCGGTGCTGTTGGTCTGACTTACAGTGACCCTATGTACAACAGAACGAAACACTGGTCCTGTGCCATCCTCACAATGTTGCTGTGTTTCAGTTCATTGTTGTTGGCACTGTGTCAATCCATCTCGTTGAGGATCTTCCTCTTTTTCGTTGACCTTCCGCTTTACCAATCATGATGTCCTTCTCCAGGGACTGGTCCCTCCTGATAATATGTCCACAGTATGTGAGACGAAGTCTCGCCATCCTCACTTCCAAGGAGCATTGTGGCTGTACTTCTTCCAAGACAGATTTGTTTGTTCTTCTGGCTGCCATGGTATATTCAATATTCTTCACCAACACCATAATTTAAAGGCATCAATTCTTCTTCAGTCTTCCTTATTCATTGTCCAGCTTTTGCATGTATATAAGGTGACTGAAAACACCATGGCTTGGGTCAGGTGCACCTTAGTCCTTAAAGTGACATCTTTGCTTTTTAACACTTTAAAGAGGTCTTTTGTAGCAGATTGGCCCAATGCAATACGTCATTTGATTTCTTGACTGCTGCTTCCATGGGCGTTGACTGTGGATCCAAGTAAAATGATATCTTTGACAACTTCAATCTATTCTCTGTTTATCATAATGTTGCTTATTGGTTCAGTTGTGAGGATTTTTGTTCTCTTTTTGTTCAGGTGTAATCCATATCAAAGGTTGTATAGTCTTTGATCTTCACTAGCAAGTGCTTCAAGTCCTCCTCAGTTTCAGCAAACAAGGTTGTGTCACATGCATAACGCAGGTGGTTAACGATTCTTTCTCCAATCCTGATTCCGTGTTCTTCTTCATACAGTCCAGCTTCTCAGATCATCTGCTCAGCATACGGACTGAATAAGCATAGTGACAGGATACAACCCTGACACACACCTTTTCTGATTTTAAAACGTGCTGTATCCCCTTGTTCTCTTCAAATGATTGCCTCTTGGTCTACGTACAGGTTCCACATGAGCACAATTAAGCGTTCTAGAATTCTCATTCTTTGTAATGTTATTCACAATTTGTTATAATCCACACAGTCGAATGCCTTTTTGCTTTCAGCCAAGATTCATCTGACATCAACAATGATATTCCTAGATCCATGTCCTCTTCTGAATCCAAATTCTTGAATTTCTGGCAGTTCCCTGTCAATGTACTGCTGCAACCATTTTTGAATGATCTTCAGCAAAATTCTACTTGGAGTGATATTAATTATATTGTTCAATAGTTTCCACATTCTGCTGGATTTCCTTTCTTTGCAGTGGGCTCAAATATGTATCTCTTCCAGTCAATTGGCCAGGTAGCTGTATTTCAAATTTCCTGGCATAGGCAAATGGGCGCTTCCAGCGTTGCATCTGTTTGTTGCATGAAATGAAATCACATTTCAATTCGTCTTCCATCAATTCCTGGAGCCTTGTTCTTCGCCAATGCCTTCAGTGCAGCTTGGACTTCAACTTCAACTTCTTGATCATATGTTACCTCCTGAAATGGCTGAATGTTGACCAATTCTTTTTGGTACAGTGACTCTGTGTATTCCTTCCATCTTCTTTTGATGCTTCTGGTGTCATTCAACATTTTGTCCTTAAATATTGCAACTTGAGGTTTGAATTTTTTCTTTAGTTCTTTCAGCTTGGGAAATGCTGAGCATGTTCTTCTCTTTTGGTTTTCTAACTCCAGGTCTGTGCACTTTTCATTATAATACTTTACTTTGTCTTCCAGAGCCACCCTTTGAAATCTTCCCTTCAGCTCTTTTACTTCATCATTGGTTCCATTTGCTTTAGCTACTCTATGTTCAAGAGCAAGTTTCAAAGTCGCTTCTGACATCCACGTTGATCTTTTCTTTCTTTCTTGTCTTTTTAATGATCTTTTGCTTTCTTCATGTATGATGTTCTTGATGTCATCCCACAACTCGTCTAGCCTTTGGTCATGAGCGTTCAGTGCATGAAATCTGTTCCTGAGATATCTCTAAATTCAGGTGGGATATGCTCAAGGTCATACTTTGGCTGTTGTGGACTTGTTTTAATTTTCTTCAGCTTCAACTTGAACTTGCATATGAGCAATTGATGGTCTGTTTCGCAGTTGGCCCTTGGCCTTGTTCTGACTGATGATATTAAGCTTCTCCATCATCTCTTTCCACAGATGTAGTCAATTTGATTCCTGTGTATTCCATCTGGTGAGGTCCACGTATATAGTCGTCATTTTATGTTGTTGAAGAAAGGTATTTCCAATGAATACCTCATTTGTCTTGCAAAATCCTATCACATGATCTCTGGCGTTGTTTTTATCACCAACGCCATTATTTTCCAACTACTGCTCCTTCTTTGTTTCCAACTTTTGCATTCCAATCATCAGTAATTATCAATGCATCCTGATTGCATGTTTGATCAATTTCAGACTGCAGAAGTTGGTAAAAATCTTCAATTTTTTCATCTTTGGCATTAGTGGTTGGTGTGTAAATTTGAATAATAGTCATATTAACTGATCTTCCTTGTAGGCAGATGGATATTATCCTATCACTGACAGCACTGTACTTCAGGAAAGACCCTGAAATGTTCTTTTTGACAATGAATGTGACACTGTTCCTCTTCAATTTGTCATTCCCAGCATAGCAGACCATAAGACTGTCTGATTCTAAATGGCCAATACCCGCTCATTTTAGCTCACTAATGCTTAAGATATCAATCTTGAAGTGTCCCATTTCATTTTTGATAACCTCCAATTTCCCTAGATTCATACTTTGTTCATCCCACGTTCTGATTACTAATGGATGTCTGCAGCTGTTTCTTCTCATTTTGAGTCATACCACATCAGCAAATGAAGGTCCCAAAAGCTTGACTCCATCCACGTCAGTAAGGTCAGCTCTATTTTTAGGAGGCAGTTCTTCTCCAGTGGTATTTTGAGTGCTTTCTAACTTGAGGGGCTCATCTTCCAGCACTGTATCAGACAATGTTCTGCTGCTACTCATAAGATTTTCACTGGCTAATTTTTTTTCCAGAAGTATATCGCCAGGTCCTTCTTCCTAGTTTGCCTTAGTCTGGAAGATCCTCTGAAACCTGTCCACCCTGGGTGACCTGATGGTATTTAGAATACTGGTGACATACAGCTTCCAGCATCACAGCAACACACAAACCACCATAGTACGACAAACCGACAGATAAGTGGCGGCCCCAGGGTTGGAAGGAGTGCACACCAGTCACCAATTTTCAAAATGAAATTTTAACAATGACCCTACCTTAGAACCAGCTCCTTCTGTACTACATAGAGTAGTATTGCAGCATATCAAGAGAAGAGGTTAAAATGATCTGGCTGTTTCCTCTGGGACTGGAAATGTCAACAAGTCAGCCAGAGTTGCCAAGATAGACAAGGGTATTTTAACTTCTGTGCAGACGTTCCATGCTCATAGTCTAAATTGGTTCTGACTACCAAGGCTAGGTAGATGGGCTGTCAAGGTCTCAGTCTACTAAACAATGCAGAGTAAGGGGTCAAGAGTCTACCTCCTATCAGTGTTGAGAGCCACTGACAAAGCAACAACCTCAAAGCTCAAGGGTCAGGGTGAGGGGCCAGAGGGACACTGAGTACCAGCACCTCAGATGGAATAGAACCCTGGGAGGAGGGTGGTGCCATTCAGAGGCACTCTCCACTCACCAATGCCCACTGAGGCACTGTGTGAGCACAGCAGGAGACCTTTATTACTGGAGCAGGGCAACCCAAAAGATAGTTGTCAGTGGGAAGATGCATTTCTGTGGGAGATGGGATGAGACTCTCAAACAGGAAAAAGTGGTTTGAACTGTAGCCTGGTATTGCCTGCCTAGACTCTATAGAGGAGGCTGTGGCCAGGAACCATCTCTGTTGCTGCTTCTTCTTTTCTTGATTTGTATCAATATTATTTATTTCTTTCGGGCATACTGTAGGAAGGGTGGGCCGGTAACAAGTATACTGTAGTTGATCATTCTGATTTCCTTCTGACAAGAGCCGGGTAGGAACTAAGCCCCGTTTAACTTTGTCTGCCCAAATATGTACACTCTCCATGTGTGTGTGTCCCCACAGGCACACCTAGCAATGTAAGGCATGGCATACTGAAACACACCTACGTGGGGTATGCTTCTTCTGATACTGGCCTTACTGAAGGGCCCTGGGAGAATGAAGGACTCTGGTACAGGTAAAAGATGACATGATTTGCACAGACCAAGCTCCACAAAATATCTCATGTATTTCATCTTTTATAAGCTGATTCTTTTTTCTTCCTAACCTTCTCACAATAAGTAAGGAAAAAAGTTTCAGTTGGAACTGTTGGTAGAGCACACTAGAACTTGCTATAATACCTGGAACATTAAACTGATGCATCCCTATGACAGTACATCCCTCGCAGCAGCGCAGAGATCAAGCACTTTCTAAAGCCTGCCCCGCTCTGCAAAGTCAATAGACAGTTGGGTGAATCCAGGGTAAATCTTTTAGGGATTAGCAAAATCAGGTGAGACCTGACCAAACGAATACTGATGGGGGAAGCAAGCAGAGACTTACTTTGCAGTAGTTTCTTCATCATATTTGGTTTTCAGGTCAAATAATTCTGTTCGAGTTTTTTCCAGGGCTGAAAGGCAGAGGACACAAAACCATAATATAAAATGCTAATGGTTTAAATAAACTTAAAAAAGAAAATTATACAATCTATTTTCATCTCAAAAGAGTCAAAGATTACAAAAGTCCATTTCCTTCTGCCTCATCTCATCCCACACTCCTCCTTCGAGCTCACCACTGGTACTAATTCAGTGTATAGATTTTCTGCTTTTAAAAACATAGTTACATGCATAATTAAATATATATTTTTTCCATGAATGGGATAATACGAGTATTGCCTGGGCTTTGCTCCTCTCCTTTTGCAGTGTGTCACGGAAATCTCTCCACATCAGGACACAGAACTAGTCCTAACAGCCAGCTCTTGTGTACAGCCAACCATGTGCCAGGCACTGCTGGACACCTAGGAGTGAAGCTGCTGGAGGGGAGACCTTAAACATTTAAACTGCCATAACCACCACCCAGCTGGCCTCCCAAAAGGCAATTTCCATTCCTATCAATGGTATGAGCATGACTATTTTCCCACACCCTCACTAATACCAATTAAAAAAAATTTCTGACAATCTGATAGGCAAAACAATCTTTCACTGACTTTTGTCTGAATCTCCCCGATTCTTAATGAGCTTGATGTGTATCAGTCATTTGCCTTTCTTCTGCCAATAGCCTGTTCATACCCTTGGCCCATTTTCTACTGGACTGTTTATCTGTTTTTATTGATTTTACTCACTTGTTTGTTAAATTTGTGATTATTTACTCCCATTCTCATTTATGTGGGTGTGCTTTTTCATTCAAAAATTTTATACATGAATTGTTTTGTGACATTAGTTGCAATCCCCGCAATGCGTCAGCACTCTCCCCTTTCTGTTTTCCACCCTGGGTTCTCAGTGTCCTTTCATCCAGTTTTCCTGATCCTTCCTGCCTTCTCGTCTTGGCTTTTGCACAGGTGCGACCCATTTGGTCCCACAGACTTGACTGAACTAAGAAGCATGTTCCTCATGTGTGTTAGTGCTGGTTTGTCATTTGTGTTTTAACTTGGATTATGATGCCTTTAATGTTTTTTCTACATTTAAGTTAAACATATGGGGCTGTTTGTCTTTCAGTAGATATTCCCACCATCCCCCCCGAAAAAAGTTTAAAGAAACTATAAAAGCTTTGGCATAATCTTTTTTGGTGTCCTTTAAATTTCAAAGGTCTGTTATCAGGGTTCCCCTTAAACTTCACGTAGGGTAGAAATATGTTTTTTCCTATTATTGTTCTAAATGAAATGCCAATCTTTTGAGAGTTTGGAGATTTAGGTGTATCTGTTGGAAAAAGAGCAAAGTGAACGGTGGCGTGTGGAAAGGATGAAAAGGGAATTCACAGCCTCCCACCCTGACATTAACAACTCAGTGCTGGTGACTAATGAAGTAAAGGCAAAGAAGCTACTGGGGCTCTCAGTAAGTCTGGAGTGTGGGCTCAGAAGCTCCAGTGGGCTCACCCAGAGCAGGACAACGGGTACCAATGGGAACCCAGAGGGAGCAGGAGATTGACCAGACTTTCTCCCTCCAGCCTTCCCTCCATCAACTTGACTAGGATGAAGAACATCAGACCTGTTTGCAGAGTCTGAACCTTGTGTTCTGCTTCTTCCAGCTTTGAGGTGGTAGACATCTGTGTCTCCTGCAGCTTTCTGAAAAGGAAGAGAATGAAGCCAGATTGGTCATCTTGTTTACCAACTGAAATGTATTATGCGCTTTTGAGCTACAGTGATCAGCTATCCTAACTAACACACAGCTGCCAACAGGTCTCACCTGGAATACCACATGTATTATGAAACTTCTTACTAATCTTTAACACCCCAGCTTGGTTACCATATCTTACATAATGTGAAGAGTGTACCCTGTAGGGCTTGACATGTGGCAATTTGTGTAGAAGGTTATCCTAAATCTAACTCATTCTTGAAATGCCAGATATTTAAGAAAAAAAAAATATCATCATGCACTCATTGTTTCCTGAAGTTAGCCCAAGAAGAATGATCATTTACATTTTGCTGACACAATGAAGGAATTTGCTGGAATAAAGGATGTACTAAATAGATGTGACAGCTGTTCTATCTCTGTTACAATGGAATGCAAATGCAACCGCAATACCTAATGGGAAATTGTGAATGTTTTAAACTACATTCCACATATTTATATTTCCCATGATCTCTAAATGAATTCCCTGGTCAATAAATAGCATTCCTTTCCTCCTGATCTGCAGACAATCTCTAAAAATAAGTTTATTATTTTTACATCATATGAATACAGCATATGCTCTCATAATAACAAACCTGGGAATACAAAAAAGTAGAAATCACACAGTTATTTAAAAATCACGCAAATTTTCATCACCTATAGAAAAAAAAGGTGTCGCCATGAGTTGGAATATACTGGATGGGAACTAACAACAACAACACAGAAAAACATTACTAATACTTTCATGTATTTCAAATATAAAACTATATGGTCAGAGTTTTCAAGAATCAAATATCATAAGAGCACAGGAGGTAAAATGTCTTTTCCCTTCCTTGGCAGTATAGTTCTTTTATATCCTTCTAAAAATTTTTGTTGATGTACAGAAATACAATGTAATACGTAACACACTATAGTGTAATATAAAGTCACTATACCGACCGATCTGTCAGTTTGTTGAACTGTGGTGGCTTGCGTGTTGCTGTGATGCTGGAAGCTTTTCCACCGGTATTTCAAATACCAGCAGGGTCATCCATGGTGGAGAGGTTTTAGCAGAGCTTCCAGACTAAGACAGAACAGGGAGAAAGGCCTGGCAATGTACTCCTGAAAATCAGCCATTGAAAACTTTAAGGATTACAACAGAATACTGTCTAACTCACTTGCTTTGGATATGTCATCAGGAGAGATCAATCCCTGAAGAAGGACATCATGTTTGGTGAAACAGAGGGCCAATGAGGGCGTGGGAAACCCTTGTGAGGTGACATGGCACAATAACCTCAACAATGGACTTACACACGTTGGTGACAGTGAGGATGACACAGCATCGGGTAACATTTTGGTCCTGTTGTATATAAAGTCGCCATAAAAAGGAACTGACTTGAGAGCATGCGTGCATCCACCCACCCACCACCCACCCACCTATCTATCCCTTTCTTTTAATACAAATGGGTTCACACTATACACACATTATTCTGCAGCTTGCTTTTCACCTATCTCTATATTTTGGAAAATTTCTACTTCAGCATATCTAGTTCTTCCTCATCCTTACTAAATTATTAAACAGGCCTCTATAAACGGACATAAATTGTTTATAGTTTCAATTGTGCAATGATCATTATGTAGATATTATTACATGATTTTGAGACTGAATCTGTTGGATAAAACTCTAACAGAGAAATTACAATGGTCAAAAAGTGTGTTTATTTTTTCTGTTTTGATAGATATTCCTACAAAAACCTAATCAATTTAAATTCCCACCAATAGTATGTATGAATCTGTTTTCCTACGCTCTTGACAATACTGAATAAAATTAAACTTAATTTTTGTGGTTATGTTTTTCCTTGCTGTGAAGTTAGCCCCCGACTCATGGTAACCCCATGTATTACAGAGTAGAACTGCTCCAAGGGTTTTCTTGGCTGTATTCTTTACAGAAGCAGTGTACCAGGCCTTTCTTCCATGCAGCACTGAGTGGGTTAGAACTGCCAACATTTAGGTTAGCAGTGGATCACAAACCACTTGTGCCACAGGCTCCTAAACTTAATTTTACTGCTGGGTAAAGCTGAGTATTTCTTTTTCTGCTTATCTCCTTTGTCCATTTTTTTTGGTAGAGTTGTTTTTTTCTTATTACCTTGTAAGAGTTCTTTGTATATTATGAAAATTAGCCCTTTACCATCTGTGTTGTAAATATTTCTTACTAGTTTTTGATGCTTTTGAAAATTTGTTTATGGTACTCTGTTTTTAAGTTTTATTCATGTAACTTTTTTTATGCTTAGAAAGATTTCCTCACTCTAAAATATCTGCCCAAATTTTCTTCTAGTATGTATATAATTTACTTATTAATATTTAAATCTCAAATCCATCTCAATTTTTTTGGTGCAGATAATGTGGTAAAGATCTAGCTTTTATTGCTCCCCTCCCCCAAAATAGCCAGTTATTTATATTTTTAATCTTAATTAATCCTTTTATGTAATTTGAGAAGTCAGCTTAATAATATATTAAATGCTCATGAGTCTATTTCCAGACTTTCACACAGCATGAGTTTACTCTAAACAGATAACATTACACTAGATATAACTGTGAGTTATGCATTTTTCACTTAATATTATGTTGTATGTATTTCTCATGTTATTGCAAACCCTTTATAAACTATTATTTTAATGGCTGCATAATGTTCCAGTTAGGGAATGGACTGTCTTTTACTCACCCATTTCTCATTGGTTGGGCATTTAGATAGCTTGCATTTTCTCACATTATCAGTAACAAGGTGAAAAAATCTCTTTGGGCATAAAGTGCTTCCCTAGGAAGCATTTACGTATGACCAATTCCACATCTCCTTGGTCAAAGGGTCTGCCCATCTTTCTGAGCCCTGACTCCTGTTGCTCCCTTCCTTCCCCACTGGGGGCTCTGGTCTGGAGTCACCTGGTCCCACCTCTTGCCCTGACTAGCTGCAAAAGGCGGGTAGGTACCTAATCTGTGTTCTGGTTTCTCCACCTGTCAAATGGTCCACTCTGCAGGCCTGTCACGGGGATTCAGTGAGATAATGTTTGTAGAGGACCTGGCAAAGTTCTGATGCAGAACAGGCACTCGGTAAGTGGTAGCTGGCATTTTAATTCTTTTTTTTTTTTTTTTTAATGAAGTCACTTAATAGTACTCCAGAGAGGCTCACTAATACCTGGGATCTATATGGAGCCTGCCTTGTAGAATTCCAAGCAGCACATACGAAGTCAGAGGAAAAAACACAACAAATCCTATGACATGGCCCCTTCCTTGTAATCACAATTTAGTGCCTCTTATTAAATGGATACATGCATTTCTCCATAGCAGGCTTAAAATTTAAAATCTTAACTTAACCAAGAGTTAAAAAAAATATGACTCATACGATTTTAGAAACTTAAACAGTTTCTAAAAGAAATCTAACTTTTATTAAATTGTCATACTAGTGCAAAACCACTCATTATTTGTGGAAAATATTTTGGGTAAAATAGACCATTAGAAATCTAAATTTCACATCAGTGTGGGTGGTACATCAACATATTTTACAGATATTAATTCCTTGATATACGAAGCATGGTGTGGTAATGAAAAGAGGTAAAATAAATAATAAAATAAAAAAAACTTTCCAAATTTTACACACACACACACACCTGTGCATGATATTCTCTGAACTATTTATTAAAGTACAAATATCAAAATTCACTAAAGAAGGCAGAAGGAGTTCAGTATGTACCCCAAGGCTTCTCCACAGAGGACATATAGCAGAGATGATTTGTCTTCTCTCATCTCATCTCAGGTACAAATACCATGTCACTTAAAATGCCTTGTGCTCTACCTCTAGACTGTGAGGTCCTGACAAACACGCTGACACTATCCGACAACAGGTAAGATGGATTTTCACTTGAGGGAATTCCACAAATTAAGAATAAAGGGACATTTTTATTTTTCTGGGAGTCTCTGGTGCTTCAAGGTTCAAGTCCACCCAGAGGTGCCTTGGGAGAAAGGCCTGGTGACCTACTTCCAAAAAATCATCCATTGAAAACCCTATGGAGCACAGTTCTACTCTGACACACACGGGGACACCATGTATTGCAATCGACTCCATGGCAAGTGTTTTTTTTTTTTTTTTTAAAGCCAAATTTTGCCTAGAGCCCCTAGGATTTTTACTCACAGCCTGGGTTTATTCCACAGATACATTTAAAAAATTGCCTTGCAATGTGACATTTAGAGGTAGGACATTATGCCAGGATGTGCACACCAGATCACACGCTCACCTCTCCTTTTCTGCAAAGTCATTTTGTAACTTTTGTTCCTTTTCGAGAGCTATAGTCTCAGCTTGGTTCTTCAGAGTCTGTTCATATTCTCGGATTTTCTCTTTAAGTGCTTTTATCGTAACCTCTGCAGAAAGGAAAAGAAGAACAACAACAAAAAAAAAACTTACAATGAGAGAAGCACAATTCCATGTGGCTATATATATACAAGGCTTTTTTGTAAGCTAGTAGGATCGGTATGTTTTAAACTTTAGCTCTTCAACTCTGACACAAAATCAATGGTTACGAGTCCCTTTGGAGACCTTTTACTCCCTAAATGTTAAATTGAACTATAAACGTTTAGGTTGAGAAGGATCAATGGGTTTTGCTGGGAAGAGGAGCTATGGTTTCTCTAACATAACTTAAAAAAAAAAAAAAAAGAAGAGGGAAAAATCAATGGTAAAATATAATATCATCTTATTGACGAGTCTTCTTAAATCAGTCCCCTACTGAGGGAAGATTAATAAAGTTTTACTATGGGTTTAAGTACTTTCTTACAAAGAAAACAGTTCATAATTGTATGCACATTTTGGAAGAAGTGGTCTTAGCCTGAGTCAGGTGAAGTCTACAGACTGCCCTGGCCATGGGCTGCAGCTTGGCTGCTTCACAGGTGATGGAAAACACAATGTGCAGGGTGGACAACGTGTGCATTTCCTCAGCTGCCAGCCAGAACCTGGGTGCTGAGAGCACCCTCTACCCAGGGCAGATATTGGCGGACTTGTACAGTGGGTGCAGAGCAAAGGACGCAGGGCCTGGGGGAGAACCGCATCCAGCAAGAAGCTCCCAACGACTGGCGGATGCCCTCCAAGTGCCCTGCAGCATGGCGCATGAGAGCCAGGGCACTGGCAGCACCGTGCAATGAACCAGCCCTGCAGTTCGGCTGCTCCTGGAAAAGGGCCCATTAGGAAGCCGGGCTGTCCCCGCAAAGCCTGGATCTAGACATCTCTTGGTTATGGCACCACCACTACCACCAACTGCATGTTTACAGCCTTCACTTCAATAACCCAAACCGGGACTGCCAAAGCAGACACGGATGAACGAGCAGAGTCCTAACTCAGACCTGTGCGCTGGTCCTAGAGCAGGACCACTTCTGTCCTACATACACCCCACGCCGGTGGTTCTCTTACATCCACCCCACATCGGTGGTCTGTGCACCAGTCGATCCTTGGCAGGAGCGCTCTGATCTCAGCTCCTGGGGGATGTACCTGCTGCTTACGCATCCATCTCTGAGAAGGCAAAGACTGAGCTTCTTTGTGTTCCCAGCACCCTGCAAAGGCAGGTGCTCAGGACGTGAATGAGGCACGAATGAACGAACAAGCCAAACCCGGCAGACCAGGGTGAGGCCCAGACAGGGCTCATGACAAGGAGGCTCCAGGCTCAAGTGACAACACCACCTGCCAGGTCTTGCTTGGCCTGTCAGAAGCGTGGACTGGCCCCTGCCTGTAGCTGCAGTAACTATGAGAATCACCCCCTAAGAAAATGAGGCTTTTAACGAAGTGAGATAACTTGCCCAAGGTCACACAGCTAAGTAGTGGCTATGCAGGGACTCAAAGCAGAGCTGTCGGCCTCTGGAGCCTTTGTTCTTAAGAAGTCTTGGATTACATATTTCATTTGAAAGCGTCCATTGGATGAGGCCTTTGGGGAGGAGAACATCCCACAGCTCAGTTCTGGCTCCTTGCCAGACTTGGTGCTCCATGCAGGGACAGAAAATAACGCCCAGCCCACTGGGCCCCACCTGCACCATCCTCCCAACAAAGCAAAATCAAACTAAATAGAAAAACAAAGAGTAGGTCTGTCAAAAGTAGAAGTCAGCAGTCAAAAAAGTACAGCCCTTCTGGGGAGAGCTCCTCTGGAAGCAAGTGGGTGCTTTCACCGGCCTCTCGCCAGAGTGCTCGGGCGGTTCTGACAAGAAACGGTTCCCACTGGGGGAAGCAGTCCCTTCTCTCAGACTGACCCCAGCTTGGTAAGTCCAGCATTTCTCTTCAAGGAGGGCCAAGCAGTCCCTTCTGGTTCCAAGGCACAACTGCTCTCTGTGAACCACATGGAGGTGGTGTCAGAGCTGACTCTGGCTCCCCCAGTTTCCCATCACCCCCACATCCCCAACTCCACCAAGGAGGCTCTGCTGGCCTGTGAAAGAGAGGGGTCCGAGATCCTAAGGAAGGGTCCTGGGGATGCTGCTCCACAGCCCCGAGACCCCGAGGAAGGGTCCTGGGGGTGTCGCCCCACAGCCCGGAGACCCTGAGAAAGGGCCCTG